TCGAGGTAAATTTTTGCAGCCGGAGCTGGTCGTAACCCGAAAAGTTCGTTAGTAGAGGCGTTCGTATCCCAAGGTACCACTATAAAGAGATTTCTCTCTCTCTCTCTCTGTTCTATATTTTTATTATTAACGTTTTATTTATTTATTTTACAAGATTTGAAATGGACTCAAATGCTTATTGGTAGCCAATGAAGAGGACTTAACATGGGTGTAATTCTGCATTGCCAGGTTTCTCTGGCCAGCAGTGCAGCTGTTGCATTTTGCACCAGTTGCAACTTCCAAGTCATCTTCAAAGGTGTAGTAGTCCAATTGAAGGTGATGATTTACTGTTGCCAGTGCATCCTGGAGTAGCTCCTTCAGGAGTAGAAACCCTGTCAAGAGCAACTACCAGGGACAATATTACTGGGTGGCCTGATGTTATAATGTAAAGTAACGCTGTCTCTCTAGCATTTAAGCCTGAGCGGTTTCTCCCTATTGAGGCCCAGACTCCAGTTCAAGACATCTCCAGCATGGCCTGAGGTAGAAATGTACAACTGAGTATCACTAGCATACTGATAATATTTCACCCCAACTCAAAAAATGACCACTCCGACTGGCTTCATATAGTTGTTAAACAAAACATGGGAGAAGACTGAGCTTTGTGGCAGTAGAGGGAATGGCCTTGAAGGACAGGAGGAAGAACCACTACCAAGGCAGCAGTCAGATAAAAAGGACCTGAGCTCAGGTCAAGAAAGCAGTTTGAGAAAACATCTCAGACAAGCCTTTCCCTAGTTCATATGGAGATAAAGGGAGGGAGGGTGAAGCACATTCAGACTTGCAAGATTCTGTTACTATAGCTGTTGCAATACAAGTAGCACTGACCTACATGGCACTGGTTTCTTAGTCTACCTTGTAGGGCTGACAATGGCACCCAACACTGGAGCAGGTCAGAGATCAACCTTTCATCCCACACAGTTATGGACTAGAACTGCCTACTTGGGTAAGAACTGAACTATCTTAAAACAATCTTAAAATAGTATCTTCCACCTCCAATGTTGCAGGTGATCCAAGAAAAAAACCAAGGCAATGGTACTGAATGCCACTGAGAGGTCCAACAGAACTAGAAAAGGCATACACTTTCCACATCTAGATCCCAAAAAGGTCATTCAGTAAAGTGACCAATACAATTTTGATCCCAAAATTGGGCCTTAATCCTGAATATAAGGGATCTGTTAATCCATAGTCGAGTCTCCACTCTATTCTCAACAACTTTTCCTAAAGAGGGTGAAAGTTGTCAAATGTGGGTATATTGAGAGATGCCTTTTTTAGAGCATGTACAATACTGTGTTTCATGGCCAGTGGTATAACACCCTCCTTCAAAGAGGCATTTGGCACCTTTCAAATCCAGTGGCACATGCCCTGCCGAATCACTGCAGAAGCCTGGGGGGGTATGAGTTTAATTCACAGGTGGCAGAAGTTATGCTATAGAAGACCCTATCCTCTTCTTCAGGTTCCACAGACTCAAAAGAATTGCAAGTGGACACATGATGTTGTTCAGCCCACCTTGCTCTGTCAAACTGGCATCCAAACAACAGCAGATATAAGCAACTTTACCCACAAGGAAATCCCCAAATTCATCTTGTCCTGCCCATCCTTGCCTAAAAGGACCACGTCACACTGAGCAGAGGCATGAGGTGGGAACCCACACACACAATAAACATGAAGAACGAACGTTTGCTGCTTTTATTGCTACTGAGTATACTCAAACATGAACTCATACCAGTACCAACAGAGGTGAATATGTGTAGCTCAGGGTTGAACTGGGGAGTCCTTGGGGTTCTGTGAGCTTGGTTCTTTTCTTGCAAACATTTCATTACC